AACGTATTTAATTCGTCAAAACTCATTTTTTCTAACAAATTTATTTCTTAAAAACTAATTTTTTCGTAACTAATTTAATTCGTTAGAACTAATATTTAATAACTAATTTAGTTCTTTAGAACTAATTCTTTAACAACTTATTTAATTCGTCAAAACTAATATTTCGTAACTAATTTAATTCGTGAGAACCGATTTTAGTTACCTAATTTAATTTGTTGAAACTAATTTTTATTATCTTATTGTAATTTATCAAAACTAAATTTTTTTAACTAATTTAATTCGTTGGAACTATTTTTTATTAACCAATTTAATTCCTCAGAACTAATTCTAAAAGAACGTGTTATATTTAATTCGTCAAAAACTAACTGTTCGTAACTAATTTCGTTTGTCAAAACTAGTTCTCACAGAACTTGTTTCATCCGTTGCAAGTAAAACTAATTTTTATTTCACAAATTTAATTCCCGAGAACCGATTTTTATTAATTAATATTAATTGATTTGGAACTAATTTTCATTGGCTAATTTAATTTGTTACAACTGATTTTTACTGCAAACAAATGCCAAACTTCCTAAAAGTTGTAAATATTTTCTATCTATGAACTTTCTGTTTCCTGTAAATATTTTGTTATGGTAAGAGCCCGCAGACGTTTTCTGGTAAAAGTACGAGGAATAAAATTTATGTTATTATTTCAGTCTATATAATCTCGATAGAAGATGCATATATATAACTGGGAAAAAATTTTCTACCCCTTGGGAGAGATGTATTCATAACTTTCGTTTTTTTCTCCCTTTTTTTTGCAGATATTCTGTCTACAATCTTAAAAGTAAAATTTGTTATTCAACAAGTCAAGCACATATGGTAACAAAAACAGAAAAAAATAATCGTTTCCTCCTTCCTGGAAAACATGTATGTATATAGTGTATAGGGAAATTAATCTAGGTACTTTAAGATCTTTTCTGGAGAGAGGAAGAGAGAAAAAAATAGAGAAAGAAAGAAATAGAGAAAAAAAGAGAAAAGGAGAGAGAAAAAGAAAAAAAATAGAGAAATAGAGAAAAGGAGAGAGAAAAAGAGAAAAAAATAGAGAAAGAGAGAATAAAGGGAAAAAGAGAGAAATTAGAGAAAGAGAGAAAAAAGAGAGAAAGAGAGAGACAGAGAGAAAAAGAGAAAAAATAGAGAAAGAGTGAGAGAAAAAAGAAAAAAAAATAGATAAAGAGAGAAAAAACAAAAAAGGGAAAATGAGAGAAAAGTAGAGAAAGAGAGAAAAAAAGAGAAAGAGAGAGACAGAGAGAAAAAGCGAAAAAAATAGAGAAAGAGTGACAGAAAAAAGAGAAAAATAGGGAAAAGTAGAGAAAGAGAGAAAAAAGAGAGAAAGAGAGAGACAGAGAGAAAAAGAGAAAAAATAGAGAAAGAGTGAGAGAAAAAAGAAAAAAAATAGATAAAGAGAGAAAAAAGGGAAAATGAGAGAAAAGTAGAGAAAGAGAGAAAAAAAGAGAAAGAGAGAGACAGAGAGAAAAAGCGAAAAAATAGAGAAAGAGTGACAGAAAAAAGAGAAAAATAGGGAAAGAGAGAAAAAAGGGAAAAAGAGAGAAAAGTAGAGAAAAAAAGAAAAAAGAGAGAAAGAAAGAGAGACAGAGAGAGAAAGAGAGAGAGAGAGAGAAAATATAAAAAAGTGTTTAAAGTAAATATGAACACTTGGACTATTTAAGACATATAGCTACGTGATTAATTGATGTTTGCGAGATTGTTTCTTTAGGTGTTGTCTAGGAATTCACTAAGAACAATCACGTGTTCAATTTACCGTTGTGTGTGAAAATATTAATGATGTCAGCGGGACAAAATCTTTCACCAGATGTCAAAAAAAAGCAAAAAAAAATTGACACTTTATTGCCCTATGATTAACGACTATAATAGTAATTGCTATAAAACTTCTTTAGCAGATGTTAATCTTGTACTTATATACGCATATAAATTTTTGCTGAGAAAAATTTCTATGATGAGAATACTTTGTTTTTTATAATAGCACATTTGTTTTCTTACATGTGTCCGAAATTATATCTCCTCTGCAAAAAAGTGAGAAATATTTTTAATCCCCATCTCTCTAATTTTCAATTTGTCACTTTTAAAGCAACGAATCGTGAATGAATTTGTATTAGTTCTGATGACTAAATTTTACCTAAAATGACAAATTAAAAAAATTAATTAAAAACTGACTATAATTTAATGTCAAATCTAATTTTTAGGTTCTGTTAAGTGGCTAAAAAATTAATGGATTTATGTCTACTAAAGTACTAAATATTTTAGTATTTTTTTTTTTTTGCAAATAATTGTTTAGATTAGTTGCTTTCTACTGTGATAATAAGTCATTTTTTTACTAATTGGGGAAGGGCAGATTCTAGATAACTGTTTTTTGTTTAATTAGTTGTTTTGTACTATTTTCGATTTAGACAAGTGTTGTAGTCAAGGGGTTAGCATTCTCGACTTGCAATGAAAGAGTCAGGGGTTCGAGTCCTGGAGGGTTTATTTTTCGAGGTCTTGAGCATTTGGAGAGTTAAACTTCATAATTTTTTATTTTCTAGAGAAACTACTCCTAAATTTTAAAAAATATTTAATTACAACTCATCCTCAGCTTCAAATTTAAATTTAAAATAGAGAAAAAAAAACATCTTTTATTTCTCTTTAGACTTTAGATATTTTAATAGTGTAAATCAGTTTCATACTTTCAAAGACAGACAGTAGACAGGAGAGTTTATTCCGTACCTAATTCAAGTGAAATCGACCTCTTCTCCAAGACTACATATCCTGACTAATAATATCTTGTTATTTTTCCTTTTGCATTCAATCTAGATTCCCGGATAAATTGCAACTATTTGAATATTTTTTTGTTAGTTGTTCAATTTTTTTTTTTTTTTTTTTGAAGAAAGCTTTCATACACCGTACATCACGTTTTCGCAGGTGGGCGGACAGGACGTCAAGTTGCGCTGACGCCCTGCGAAATTGAATCTAAAGTTTAAGTTGCTCTTTTCTCCTTGCCACGTTCTCTCTGTAAATGCTTCGGGGAGGTCGCAAATCATCACCTTGCTTTAACTGCGTTAGATTGTCGAAGATTACCACTCTCCGGTGTGTGTGCGCGCACAGTTCCTCAACTGGTGAGAATCTCTAAATATATTCTCTTAAGCTATCAAAAAATTTATATTTTTTTCGCCCAACACCTGCCAGCCAAAAAATTTATATATTCTTTCTCGAATGCTAAGGAATTCCCCCCTGATGCTTATTCAAGCGAAATGCAAAAATGAAAAAAGAAATGCAGAAATGGACAAAGTAAATGCGAAAGCATTTACTTTGTCAATTTCTGCATTTCTTTTTTCATTTCTTTGTATTTATTTTTTTTTGTACAAAAAAATAAATACAAAGAAAAAAAATACAAAAAGAAAGGAATAAAAAGCATTTACTTTGCCCATTTCTGCATTTCTTTTTTAATTTCTTTGTATTTCTTTTTTTTATTTTTTTGTACGAAAAAAATACAAAAATCGAAAAAAAACACAAAAAGAAAGGAATAAATACAAAAAAAAATTAAAGAAATAATTTTTCGAAAAAGGATTCTCGCTGCATGTTCGCAAATTTTTCACAAAAGAAATTATATTTTATTATTTTCATAGCCGAAAGGTAAACAAGAGGGCAATTTTAAACATCACGAGTAGAGCAATTACCTAAAAAAAAAAAAAATTGAGTGCAATTTAGAAAAGAACATCCGACATTTCTAACACATGTTTGTGAGCGAGACTTTCGCTAAACAAATATTTTAAGAACCGTGACTTGGAGGCCCTGCTGAGAAATACGACAACACGCGATATAACAAGCGAGAGAAGACGTTTCATTTCTTTCTCTCATTCATATTTTTTTTTTCTTTCTCTCCTCGCTTTTATTTCAAAAGATGGAGATCGTTTCTCGCACACACGAAATTCTTGTCGTTTTAAAGAGGGTGCACCTTAAGCCTTCTACTGGTTTTTGAATGGCTGATTTTACTTTTTTACGTTCTCGACGAAATCCCCAGAAAGTGTGAGCGAGAGAGAGACCTCGGTACCGGTTTATTGCGACTGCATGGGCAAATGATGTCATTAGATATACTTACGCCGAAGTTTATCGCCCCTGTTTTTCAATCTTTTATGTTCGAATACCGTAACATGACTGGGACACTTTTGTTACAAAAAAAAAGAAGAAAATTTTTTTTTTTCCTCCTTTTTTATTACTTTTATTAGAGTCAAGATTCTTTTCATACACACAGAGAGACAAATATTAACACACACACACACGTGTGTGAAGAGAGAGACTACGTGATATTACGAGATCTACTTCTATTTATGGTAATTCAAAAACAAATTGCCCAAGAATAGAGGATATAAGATGAAAAAATTTTGTCGGATTAAAATATACGATAAGTCTGATTAATTGTGCTTTTCATGGCGAGAGAGAAAAAGAGAGAGAGAGAGAGAGAGAGAGAGAGAGAGAGAGAAGAGAATCATCCATTAAATTGAGACATTATAAAGGATTATTGAAAATTTAAATACGAATGGAAAAAGAAAATTAACAAACATTTTGAGTAGGAAAACAGAGAAATACTGTAAATAAATATAAATAAATAAATTGAATAGAAACTTTACAGAAATTTTTGTAAGTCAATCAAAAATAAATTACTGGTAAGAATATTAGTATTTTAATTTTTTTCTACTATAATATTCAAATATTAATATAAATATTAATTAATGAATGAATTGATTAATTATAATTAAAGAGAAAATCTTCCCACAGGTATTAAATTTAGAATTCTAATTCTGATCATAATTAATTATAATTATGATTAGTTTTGTCAAATTTTACTCGAATAAATTAATTTTCAACTGTTTTTTGTTTTAACGAAATAATTAACCTTTTTGACAAAATAAAAATTATAAATTTTAAGTATATTTTTACGTTTCGTTAAAAATAAGAAAAAAATTTTAAATATGCCGAAGGAACCCCCCATCGATGAATTAAATAATACCTTAAAGGAAATTGTTTATAGAAGAAAAAATGCTAAAGTATTGAAAAAATTGGCAAAATCGACGAATTTTGATTATCAAGAAGTCGAAGGTTATTTCTTCACACTTATTTATCTGAATATTATGTTAATTTTTTTAAAATTAATTACTAATTATTAGTAAATTACAAAATTACTTTTAAAATAAATTAATACTCTAACAATTGATATTAACTAATTATTAATTATTAGGAGACAATTTATAATTAATTAATGATAATTAAAAATTAATAACAGATAATTGATAGTTAATATTTGATATTTAATAATAATTAATAATTTGTTATTTGTATGCAAAAAATTTTTAATGAATAATTGTCAATTAATAATTGAATATTCATAATTATTAATTGGTATTTAAAAATAATTTTATGCATAATTGTCAATTAATAATTAATAATTAATCATTGAAAATTTACAATTAATAATTACTTACTGATATTTAAAAATTGGCAAAGAATTTTATCAAAAAATTTGATAATATTAGAATTCCTTCAAAGAATTTTATTATTTAGAAAAATAAGTAAATTCTCGCGAAGAATTTTATTAAAATTTTTAAAAATCCTAATTAAATTCTTTTGAAGAATTTCTTTGAATTTCTTTTAAACTAATGGAGTTTCTTTAATAATTTTAATTGAAAATTTTGAAAGCAATTGAATTTTATGAAGAAGAATTTTATTAAAAATGTATTGAAAATAATTGAATTCTCGCAAAGAATTTTACTATTTATTTAAAAATAATTGAATTGTTCTAAAGAATTTATTGGAATTTTAGAAAATAAATTAATTTTATGTAAATATTTGCAAATTTAAATTTTTTCCAGGAATTCTATTAAAATTATTTTGAAAAGAATTGTATTTCTGCAAAGGATTTTACTATTTATAAAAGTAATTGAATTATTGCAAAGAATTTTACAAATCATAAAAATAATTGAAATGTTTCGAAGAATCTATTAAAATTTTAAGAAATAATTAAATTGTTATAAAGAATTTTATAGAAATATTTCAAAATAATGCAATTTTTTCAAAAAAATTCAATTACAGTTGTTTTGAAAATAATTGAATTTCCTTAAAGAATTTTATTAAAATTAAGTATATTCAAAATAATTGAATTCATCACAACAATTTTATTATTTTTTGAAAATAATTGATTTCTTTCAATTTTTTTGACTAATATATTTAAAAATTCCATTGAAAGTAATTTAATTTTTATATAGAATTTTTTAAAAATATTTTAAGAATAATTCAATTATTTTTAGAGAATTTTAAATTTTTGTTGAAATTAAATTTTATGGAAATTTTTGAAAATAATTAAATTCTTTCGTGTAATTTTATTTAAATTTGATTAAAATTAATTTAATATCTGCAAAGAATTTTAGAATTTATCAAAATAGTTGAATTGTTTCGAAGAATTTATTAAAAGTTTAGGAAATAATTGAAATTTATGGAAATATTTTAAAATATTTGAATTCATCCGAAAAATTCAATTAAAATTGTTTTGAAAATAATTTTAATAACTAACAGTTGATAATTAAGAGTTTAATATTAATAATTAATGGTTGATAATTAATATTTAATAATTGATAATTAATAGTTCAAAACAAATTAATAATTAATGGTTGATAATTAATAATTATTAATTTGTAAATAATAGTTCAAAAAAAATTAATAATTAATGGTTGATTAGTAATAATTATTAATTGATTAGTAATAATTATTAATTGATTAGTAATAATTATTAATTGATAAGTAATAATTATTAATTGATAAGTAATAATTATTAATTGATAATTAATCATTATTAATTGATATAAATAATAAAAATAAAAATTATTAAAAAGGAATGTTTTATTATTACAATTTTCGAGAAAAAAATAAATTTATTATCGATTGTCGCACGTGCAAACGATATCTTACTGCAATATAATATGAAACATTTTTAAAAATCGCCAAATAAAAAAAGAATATTTTATAACCCTTTTTATTGGCACAAAAATTAACAGCTAATCTAAAGATAGTTTTACATTTTATCATAATTTGAATTTTATCCGTGTTAATGGACAATTAAACACTCAAGTTGATATCCTTATTCTTTCTCTCTCTTATAAGGCGATAATTAAAAATGATCGTACAGAGGCGAATAAATATATATATTTTTTTATAGCACTAGCCCTCATAAAACAAAAAATTAACCGCAAAATGGGACCTATATCTCGAATTCCTTTTAGAGACATTCTTCATTCAGGATTAGATTATACGGAAAATTTACCACACCTATTAGTCGATAGAGTGTTTTCAGCTATCGATAAAAAGGATTTATCATCAGTAATTTACTTTGAAAAATAAATATCACATCAAATACTGAAATTTAATCTAAAAAACGAAAAAAAAAATAATCAAAAAAATACGTTCTTTTCTGAATTCTACATAGCTAACTGTCGATCAATGGATTGAAGGCTTTTCCATCATGTTGAAAGGCTCACTCGACGAAAGAATTGAATTTGCCTATAAAGTAGATCATTTGCTTTTTTCGATTAGAATTTAAATTAAATAATTTTTTTTTTAATTGATGTTATAAAATATTTAAATAATTGTTAAATAAGTGTAAGATAAATAAAATTGTATTTTTTTAATGGTACTCATTTAATTAACTAAATTATTTTTTTTTTTTTGAATTTTTATTTCTTGACGCTAAAAAATTATGATTTTATATTATTTATTATTGTAGTGTAGTTTAATTTTCATTAAATTGTTTATATTATTATTTTGTAATAAAAAGGATTAAATTTAGTACAAAATAATTTAAAACACAGTTTCAACAAACAGCAAATATTTATTATTTTTATTATTTATTTACTTGGCTATTGAATTGTAATAATTATGATTAAATATAAATAGTAATTAAAATACAAAACTTACAAAAAAAAGAGTAGCTTCTACATGAACAAAATAAAACCAAGAAAAAAAATTGATTCTTTCATTATCGACAGGTTTATGACTTAATGAAAACGGATAGCTTAAAGAAAGAGCAAATATTTCCAATGATGAGAGGATGTCTGATAATGCCCAAACCTGATGAGGATCCAGACGAGATGGTCAAGGTATTGATGCACAATCATTTCAAGTAATTGAAAATATAATGAGGGGATCTTAAAGAGTACTTAAGGTTTAAATAATCTCTCATTTCTTAAAATCGCACCATCCGCACTCGTTTTACGTGAGGCGCAAAATCTTTTCAATCTTTCTTCCTGAGTGTTATAATACTCAGTTGGAAATATTTTTTTCCTCTATACCCGTCAGTACTTTTTTTTTTTTTTTTTTTTTTTTTTGCCATATACCCGTCAATTTTGTTCAAGAGAGAAAAAAAAATGAATGTATGTTATCTCTATTCAGGACCTGTTAGACATGATGCTAAAAAAATTGGATGTCGATCGTAACGGAAGGGTCTCACAAATGGAGTTTACAGAAATTGTCAAGAAAAATGTACTCTTTTTAGAATGCATGGGACCAATATTCCCATCACGTCAAGCTCAACATGCATTTTTAACTACTTTCAGCCACAGGAAACATCGATTTTAGAATTGGATTTAAATTTTTTTTTACGATTCTATTCATTATAAATGTTTGTTAATTAAAATTTGTGTTCATGAAAAATAAAGTCTTGAATTTTCGTACTAAAAAACTTAAAAACTTATTTTTTTATGTTTAAAAATTAAAAAAAAATCCTCTTCAGAATTTCAATTATTTTTATAAATAATAAAATTCTTTTCCAAAATTCAATTATTTTCAAAAATTTTAATTAAATTGTAGACAAAATTTCAATTATTTTCAAAAATTTTCTTCAATTTAATGATTTTGAATATCTACTATTTTAATAAAATCTTTTTAAAGAATTAAATTATTTATAAAAAATTTAATAAAATCCTACACAAATCTTTAATTATTTTCATAAAATAATAAAAATTTCACAGGAATTCAAATATTTTCGAAAATAATAAAATTCTTTTTAGGAATAATTAAAACTTATCGTAGAATTTTCAATTATTTTTAATGCAATTTTAATCGAATTCTTCAAAAAATATAATTATTTCTAAAAATTTTATTAAAATTCGTCAAAAGAATTCAATTGTTCCAAAAATTTGTTAATAAAATTCTTTATGCGAGAATTCAATTTTAAGAAACATGCAATTTTTAATTGTACGATATAATTTGGAGAATTTCAGAGAAATTACAAAATTATTGCAGACATTCAATTATTTTCAAAAGTAATAAAATTTTTCGCACAAATTCAATTATGTTCAAAAATTTTAAAAAATTCTAGTTAAAATTTCAATTATCTTTATGAATTATAAAATTCTTGTCCGAAATTCAATTATTTTAAAAATTTTTTATTAAATTCTAGACAAAATTTCAATTATTTTCAAAAAATTTCCTCAATTCAATGATTTTTAATAAATTTTTCCAAAAGAATTCAATTATTTATAAAAAATTAAATAAAATCCTACACAAATCTTTAATTATTTTCATAAAGTAATAAAAATTTCACAGGGATTCAATTATTATTTTCGAAAATAATAAAATTCTTTTTAGGAATAAATAAAACTCATTGCAGAATTACAATTATTTTTAATACAATATTTTAATCGAATTCTTAAAAAAATATCATTATTCCTAAAAATTTTATTAAAATTCGTCAAAAGAATTCAATTATTCCAAAAGTAATAAATTTTTTCGCACAAATTCAATTATGTTCAAAAATTTTTAAAAATTCTAGTTAAAATTTCAATTATCTTTATGAATAATAAAATATTCTTGTCCGAAATTCAATTATTTTTAAAAATTTTCTTCAATTCAATAATTTTTAATATCTACGATTTTAATAAAATTTTCCAAAAGATTTTAATTATTTAAACAAACTTTTAATAACATTCTACGCAAATATTTAATTATTTGGATAAATAATAAAAATTTTATAAGAATTCAATTAGTTACAACTTTTTTATAAATTTCTTGGCAATAATTCCATTATTTTCATAAAAAATAATAATTTTATTCTAAAAAATTTTATTAAAATTCGTCGAAAGAATTCAATTATTTAATAATTTTTTGGTAAAATTCTTTATGAAAATTTAATTTTAAGAAGTATTGAATTATTCTATAAATTATTCATTTTTGAATATTTAAATAATTGAATCTGAAAAATAATTTTGTTTTGTTTCTTTAATAATTAAATTCTCGTAGAATTTCCTAATAAAAAATGATTGAAACATGAATTTCAGTTACAATTTCAGATTATAATTGAATATTTAAAGCATTAGAGCGTGAATTTTTTAAAAATATTTGAATTTTTAAAACGATTCAGATTAAAATTTTTAAAAATTTGAATTTTTCATATCTTTAACTAATAATTCTGTGGAATTAATTTTTTTGAGAAAGTTTAATTGGATTTTTTAAAAAAATTATTTGAAGTTTTTATTTTCTAATATATATATTTGATTGGAAAATTTACGAATAATTGAAATTATTTCCTGCAATGCAATTCTAATCGAATTTCTCGAAAAATATGTAATAATTTGTAAAATTTTTATTAAAATTCGTCGATAGTATTGAATTAATTAAAAATTTGTGGGTACAATTTTTCATGGGAATTGAATTTTAAGAAACGTGCAATTATTCAATAAATTGTTTTTTTTTGTATTTAAATAATTGAATTTGAAAAATAATTTTGTTTTGCTGTTTCATAATTAAATTCTCGTAGAATTTTCTAATAAAAAATGATTGAAACATGAATTTGAGTTAAAATTTTAGATATTATTATTATTATTTGAAGTTTTCATTTATTTTTAAAAAATTTATGAAAATTTTGTGGTTTAATTATTTTTGTATATAAATAATTGAATTCTAATAGAATTTTTTAATAGAAATTGTTTTTTAAAAATAAATTTCAGTAAAAATTGTAGATAATAATTGAATATTAAAAGAAAGAAATAGATTTGTAAATTGTCAAAGAACTTTTTCCAAAATTATTAAAAATATAAAAATTAATATAGATAATCGATTTAAAGAAGATAAATTTAATTTATACTGTTAAGTAAAATGTTCTCTTATTGTTTATTTATATTGTTTTATTAATATAAAAAATTATTTATATTTATATTTTTGTCACTAATTGGTCCGTATACTTGCATTCGAACGATATTAAATATGCCGTTTATTGTGACAAACACAATTTCACAAGGATCAGTTTTCAATTTTATTATTCGCACAAAAGATGCGCGATTTTGCACTGGTTCAAAACGAGGGAGGTAGGGAGGTAACCTCATGCTGTTCTCAGCAAAAAAAAAAGTAGATATATATCTGCGCAAAAATTGCTCGCTCCATTGAGTATTCCACACGCGAGAGATTGTGCAAGCAGTTCCGATATAGAAGATAGTGTGGCAGTATTGTATATATATAGCTATATATATAATGGCAAAGTCACGTGATATATTTTATGAATGTGATACGCGACGACCACTCGTCTTTTCCGTCTTCTACTTTTGAAAATCCTAAAATTACAGTAGATATTCTACAATGTGAACTCGTGTTTCCTGCTTCCACTTGAAGAATTTTCTCCGAGGGAATTTTATTTCTTTGAGTTTCTTATATACTTCACTTCTTCACTTCAAAGAAACTCCTGTACCTGCTCTATATATATACATCTGTATTATATAAAACTACTCTTAAAGCAAAAACTTTCATATTTCCTGTTTCTCTATACAAACAAACTTTATTTTTCTTCTTCTTTTGTTTTCTTTTTTTGTGTATGATGAATTTTACGAATTTTTGTGTTATAATTTGTAACGTGAAATGAAAATTAATTAATAAATTAACACTGTTAACTTAATAGTATCAAATTGGAACGAATTGATACCAAAAATGTGAATAAAACAATATTCTGATTCACTCTAAAAATGTTTAGATACTCAAAAAAAATGTTCCTTTACATTTATTGACGAATTTCTTTTGTTGTAAAATTATTCGAAAACAACTTTTTTGAATAAATATAAAGATAACTCTTCTATAGGAATTAAGATTTTCAATAATTTCAAATTCAACGACTTATTATATTATACTATATATATTCAAAAATAAAGAACAGTAAATAAAAATTTGAGGAATCTACTTTTTCTTATTTAAACCTAAAGAATAGTTAATAAATTTTTTTTTTATTTTTTCACTTAGAAACTAGTGGAGAAATATTTTTTAAAAAATTGAGAAATTGACATGGACGTCGTCCGCTCTTTCGGGTAAAATGTTTTACTTTTTTTTTCTTCTTTTTTTGAAAGTGATTTGAAAGGTGTCTCTTAAGGGATGAAGCTAAACAGTTTTGAAGGGCCATTCCCTGTAGGCGTGTATATAATGTGTACTATACGTTTAGTGATGTTTTTCGCGCCAATAAGTCTTAAATCATACAGAAAACATCGAGCGAAGAGAGGTCGATGACGATGCTTCAGTAAACTCTCAAGATTACCTATCCATCGATATTTACGATTCACCGAGATCGACTCGGATTCCTTCGCAAGCAATCGCTAATGGACCGTCATAATACCTTCCTAATCGTTTCACCATCGGACACATCAAATAGTCCTTATTCCCTTAAAAAAGTATGAATTTAATTCTTCCATGAAATATTTTCTTTTTTACTACAACTATTACTATTACCATATATAGGTAATAGTCCAATTGGACTGCGGGATATTTTCATAAATAAATAAATAAATAAATATAATACTATTAATAATAATAATAATTATTACTATTTATATTTTTTTAATATTTATGATTTTATTTTTAAATTTACTTTATATATTAGTACCATTTTTTCTGCTGTCCGTAATTATTGTTTTTATGCAACAAATAAAATAGTATTTTTCAAATTGTTTTTTAATTGTAAAATTAAACTCTTATTTTCTATTTTGACATTCAGATATATACATTCGGATTTATTTCCAAATGTGCGCCTTTGAGTGAGGTTGACAAAAAGTAAACAGTTTCTTATAAAAATAAATCATCATCGTCATCATCACTGGGGTGGAAAGAAGAATATTCTTAAGGAGAGAGTCTCTTTAACGTGTTACTGAAAACATAATGAATGTTTGATGAAAGAGAAAAAAAGAGAACCCGTTAGCTCTGTGTAGATGATAATCGATCCACATTTTGAAAAGCAGCTATAACAACAAATTAAGACAAGATTTTTTTTCCTCATCCTTTTTTTCGTGGCTGGAATCGAAAATCTATATACTAGGAGAAAATCATCTTGTTTCGATGACAAAGACGCGTGTGTTGTACTGAGTACAGTAGTCGTATATATATATATATATATATAAAGTATAAAGTCCTTTTTTTCTTGAGGTAGAGAAGGATATTGTGTAAAGAGTATAATAACTTTGCCAGTTCCTTTTGTGGGTAGCCGACCGTGGTTCACATGAAAAGATGTTCGAAAAAGGATATAGTAATGCAGCGGGAGTATATAATAACAGCTGAGAAAACAGATTTCGATGAAATTCACCTTATCAGGCCTATTGGACGATCAACAA